AGGACATTGGCTTCAGGAGAACATCCTTGGAGTTGAAAAGTGGCCTTCAGGAGAACATCCTTGGAGTTGAAAAGTGGCCTGTGTGCCCAACATCTCCTACATATCCCCCACCTTCCATCCCACCCTCACACACATCTCCATTCCCCCACCACACCCACTCCTCTAGGTATTGAAGGGTTGTGAGCCTGGACCACTAGTGCTTTTGGCCTGAGCTAATCTCAGGTAGGGTCACCTGTTCGTCACCAGCTATTTTTCTTCCACTTTCTAGTTGGCTCAGAAGGTCCCCCACAAGCTGAATAACCCTAAGTTCAATGATCCGCACGTCAAGACCAACCTGCTTCTGCAGGCGCATCTGTCCCGCATGCAGCTGAGTGCTGAACTGCAGTCGGATACAGAGGAAATCCTTAGTAAGGTAGAGTGTGCGTGTGCATATGGGATGGGGTGGAGGGACCACTGGTGGCCTAGGAAGTCTCGGTTCCAGCTCCACCTGCTCTTGTACTCCTTTTCCTTTTCAGGCAATCCGGCTCATCCAGGCCTGTGTGGACGTCCTCTCCAGCAATGGGTGGCTCAGCCCTGCTCTGGCAGCCATGGAACTAGCCCAGATGGTCACCCAAGCTATGTGGTCCAAGGATTCATACCTCAAACAGCTGCCACACTTCACCTCAGAGCATATTAAACGTTGCACAGACAAGGTGAGCTGGGTCGGCCTGGGGTGTTGGATGGCTGAGCCTGAGAGCTGAGTGCCCCAGACCAGAGAGATGGGTTGTGGGAGGTGAGTCCTCAGTCGGGGAATCTTAGTTCTGCTTCCTCTGAAGCTGTTCCATATCGAGATGCTAGAGAGGCTGTTAGCTGTGGGCCATGTTCTTTTTGGAGGTGTGTCTTTAGATGATTTGACAGTGTAGGAAATAAAGTTAGCAGCTCTTTGGAGCCAGTGTCATTTGCTGTTGGTCTTTGTTTTCTCCTCCTCCCTGACTTCTGAATACCCACTGCAGGGGGTGGAGAGTGTTTTCGACATCATGGAGATGGAGGATGAGGAACGGAATGCATTGCTTCAGCTGACTGACAGCCAGATCGCAGATGTGGCCCGCTTCTGTAACCGCTACCCTAATATTGAACTGTCGTACGAAGTGGTGGATAAGGACAGCATCCGCAGGTGAGCCAGAGAGGGTCCCTGCTAGGTGCACCCTGACGATGAGCTGTGAACTCACTGCCACGGTACTGATGTGCTGCTCTGCTTTTCCCCCTACAGTGGTGGCCCAGTGGTGGTGCTGGTGCAGCTGGAGCGAGAGGAGGAAGTCACAGGCCCTGTTATTGCACCTCTCTTCCCACAGGTACGTTCTGGTAGCTGCCTTTACCAGGTGTCAACTCACCTTATTCACTAGCTAGATCCTGAGTACAAGGGTGCAGTGTCAGGACACTGGGCTTTTCTAGTTGTTGTTTCTTCTGTGTCCTTTCTATTGCCACTTACTCTGCTTGTAGTTGTTCAGTTCTTTACCCACAAAAAGAAAATCTTATTCTCTTTATATGGGAGAATATCTGGTTTCTGCTGTCAACCTTCAATTAAACCGTCATATTTAATTCTGTTAACTAGCTTTTCAGCAGGCTGTGAGGAAAGAGTGCTTTAGACTGGGATGCCAGGGCTTTATGACAGTGGAGTGGCCACCAGAGAGGGCTTAATGGAAGAGGCAAGGCTTCGGAAGAGGCCTGCCACAGGGCCTGCTTTGGATCCTCTCTGCTGTAGGTTCAGCTCCATGTTAAGATTTTTCTCAGCTGGTATATGTGTTTTGTACTGAAAGGGGTAATAAGGAACTCAAAGCTGCCAGGCGCCAATGACTAGATCTCTACCAGTAGTGCAATCTTGACTTCAGTGGCAAGCACTAAGTGGGAGAAGGTACAAGGAATGAGTCAGGACCAACAACAAATTAGTTCATCTACTTACTTAAACAGTAAGCACCCCCCACCCCCACCATTAAGTCTATTTGAGACACCTTTTGACAGTTTCAGAATCTTAGTTATATCAAATTATATTTTGGAAAGGAACTTTGGAAGGCCTTCAGATTTTTGTTATCCTGTTTTTTGTAACCGTTCTCAGGTTTTTTTGTGCTAAAATGATTGGTTTTTGGTCACTGCAGAAACGTGAAGAGGGCTGGTGGGTGGTGATTGGAGATGCAAAGTCCAATAGCCTCATCTCCATCAAGAGGCTCACCCTGCAGCAGAAGGCCAAGGTGAGTGTGTCTGCTGGCCCTAGCATTTGTTCTGGAGGTGGGGCAGGGTGAGAAGTCTACTTGTGTCCATGCTCGTCCTGATTTCTGCCTGCTTTCCATAGGTGAAACTGGACTTTGTGGCCCCAGCCACTGGTGCCCACAACTACACTCTGTACTTCATGAGTGACGCTTACATGGGATGTGACCAGGAGTACAAATTCAGTGTGGATGTGAAAGAAGCTGAGACAGACAGTGACTCAGATTGAGTCCTGAGGCATTTACTCTTGGGTAGAGGAGAGTTGAGCCAGAATTAGAAACATGTACAGTTGTAGGGATCTTGGTTGTGGAGACCAGTCCCATCAGCCTGGCTGGCCAGTCAGGGCCAGTGCTGTCCCAGCCCACCTCCACTTACTTTTCCCTTTTGCCCCCTTGCTGTGGTAAACTCTGGATCCATTGTCTGTGGGTGTCACGTGAAGCATAAACTGTAATACATTTTTAAGGCATGTTCCTGGTACTTCTTTTTGAGTCAGACATTCTAATAAAATAACTTGGCGAAACCATTTGTCTTTGCAATGATTCCAAATTAAAAGTTCTTTCTCCAATCTAAGGGCTTGGCCAGAAAGATTTCTTTTTTTTAGCTTGAACTTCCTTATGATTGCTTCTGGAGGACAAGCCTCCTCTTTAGTTGTGCTGTTACCTGTAGCCATTTCAGTCAGTCTGGAGGAGGGAACGCTGGTAGGCAGCTTCTCCTCAGTCAGGCGCATGACCCTGAACCCCCTCCGCAGTGTTAGCCACACACCAGCACTACTGCAGGAGCCAACGCTCGACCGTGGTGGATAGATCACAGGTTAGAGGTTCCTCAGGATCCGTATTCTGCAATTTTGCAGTGTCCCCTCCCAGAAGGAGGCAGCACCAGCAGGGGGTTAAAATGTACCACCTGGATGTGACCCAGTCTTGGTAAACTGATTTTGTAATCCCGATCTTCAGATTTTTCTCTTTGAATTCTTGCCTTCTGTTGTTCTTTAGGGATGTGCATAAGACCAAAAGATGATTCTGAAGGGCAGTTTCCCTAAGTCAGCTGTTTCCAAATGATTTGATCTCAGGACGACTTTACACTACAAAAAATTAAGAACCCAAAAGAGGTTTTTGTGTGTGTGTGTTCTTTTTTTAATCACAGGAATTTATTTTTCAGTTCTAGAGACTAGCCCAAAGAGCTTTTATTATCTAGGTTATATCCATTGGTATTTACTATATTAAAAATTATTTTAAAATAACTCCTAAAACAAATCCAGGGAGAAGGGTAGCATTTTATAATTTTGCAAATCTCTTTAATGTCTGGCTTAATAAAAGACAGTTGGATTCTTATACATGTTTCTATATCCAGTATTTTCAGGTAATTGTGGCTGTTCTTTGATGCTATACCAAGACTCTACAAGTGGTAGTCTCGTAAAGGCAATGTGGATCTGAAACCTTATCAATGCATTCTTGTACTGTTACATTTAAAACTCGCTGGTCTATCTTACACTTTGAATGAATCTCTTACCTGTGAATGATTTTGTAACATGCATTGGTCATTTGGAAAATTCTTCCAAATGTCTGTGCATTTCATTACCAAAATGTCAGCCAAATAGCCAAGTCCAAATACCATAATTTGCTAGTTCCTTCAAGTAAAAATGGTATGCCATGAACAGCTAATTGAGCTTGCAGCTCAGTTGCACAACTGCTTTTCCTCAAGGCAGCCACACTTCAGTGTGCAGCACAAGTGCTTTATGTATGCTTCCCATTTTCTCAGAATATTAGAAGTATTCTTTAGGGTCAACATTTAATACAATTAATCGTCTTTACTAGTTCTATCAAGGGCATTTCTAAGTGAAGTTGGCAATATTTTTATTCTGAGTACAAGGCAGTGAAGACCATCACTAGTAGTTTGTTGCCACCAGCTTGATTCATGCCACGGTGCCAACAGGTGAACTCACAGACCCTCCCCCCTTAAAAAAAAAAAAAGGGTCTTGGGACTCTCAGGGATCTGCACACCACATTTTGAGAACCACTACACTAGGTCCTGTCCCAGTTGTTCCGAAATCTAAAGTCTTTAGATACACGATTTCTACAGTGTAAAAACTTAAGGCTATAGCTTTGGGGGCCATCCTTGCAACAAAACCCAATTGGAAATGATGGTCAGAGACAACCTGAGACTGAAGAACTGATTGCCTATGGCAGTGTTTCTCAACTTTTCTTCATTATCACTCCCCTAAAGAGCCTTATTACCTGTCTTTTTTCTAATCACCCCCACCAAAAAAATGTAATACCACAGATATGCTATCTTTATGTGCTGTGGGCTGTAAGAGGGCCACAAGCTATTGGCTCTAAGATATTTTTCCCCTCCCCTCAATGAAGAACCAGATTGTATCCCTGTTGAGAATGTACAGCCTGTGTCCAGTAATAAGTCCCTTTAGGATTTCCCCATTTATTTTTCTTGTATCCCCAGCTGCCATCACAGCATAATGGCACAAGGAGGTACGTGAGGGTTTCTAAGAGAAAGTAGAGGTGTCCCTCACTCTAAACAAACCTACATTAAGAAAAAAATTTCCTTCAATATTGATTGGATATTTTTAAATACAGGAATTTACCCAGAAATTGGGAAGGCAGGACCTATTTCAGACAAGGATTCACCATGGAAATACTTTAAATTGTGAATGCCTTATAAAATAGGACTTGAGACTCAGCTGGATTATTTTTATAAAGTTAACAACCTCAGAAAGCTCTGAGACACATATCCCCCATGTTATATATATATAGTGATTACAAATAGTATATTCACCCTTCCCCCCAGATTTAACACTGTGACCTAAAGCAAAATGTGTGGCACAATAACAATGTACTGATGTTCTATAGCCCTTTACTAAGGCCCTCAGGTCTAAGGAGAGCAAAGTTCTGTGGTTCGCACCTCTACCCAAGTCCGAATAGAAGCCAGCCAAGTTAAATGAAGGTCAAGGATGCTCCTCCAGGTCCTTTCAGGGCCTGGCAAAGTCTTACGACATTTTCTGGGGAACCATTACTCTGTCCAAAGTCACGGTAGCTCAGAGGCCTTCAGGCCGCTGATACTTCCAGAAGGCAACTTCCCCATCATCACTGCAGGAGGCCAGGAGCCCCTGCTCCTTGGGGTTCCACGCCACACAGTTGACATCCTGGGAATGAGCCTGACGCAAGTGGGCTGTCAGGGAGAAGGTGGGCTGCTGTGGATCTGAGCCGGGATCCTCCTCAAACACTCGGATGGCATCGTCCCCACAAGCTGTAGCCAGGGCCCCTGTCAGCTGACACCTGGGAGGAAGATGCACATCAGTGGGTAATGTAGGTGGCTCCTGCCTCCCCAACCTGGCTAATTAGGTAGGAAAGATTTGTTCTACATTTCCCAGCCTGTTCTCTCCCCAAACTTCATGCCTCAGCTAATAGTCTCTGAGTTTCCCTAATACAGAGCCACAAACATCACCCACCTAAGTCTTTGGGTGCTTCCATCTAGTTCCCCCGCCCCCATATACTTACCCTAAAAAATGACATACAGTTCTGAACTGCACTTTTCTCTCTTAGCATAAGCAGTTTCCCATGTCATGAAGTATTCTTAACCTTTTTCATCAAACAGTGACCTAATAGGCTATTGAGTTTTTACCGCATTTATTTAAGTTCACTTTTGTTGAGTAAATAGGTTGTTTCTACATGTTTGCTAATATAAAGCAAGCTTGGGTACGTATCAGTGCCTTCATTGTTTCAGATTATTTCCTAGGGATCAATTCTAAGGGCTGGAACTGCCCTCTGAAATACTCTCCTATATAAATGGTGCAGCTTTTTTGGCCTGCATGAGGGCAGAATCAGTGTTAGCAAACCATAAATACCCCAGCCATGAATCCACAAAGTCATTTCTGAAATAGTATGATGCCCTTACAGCCTGGGATCTTAACCCAGGTACAAGCTTAGGTCTAAGTCTGTTCCCTGCTCCTGTGCATCCCAGGCCAGCCAGCTCTAAGCCGACACGGTAGAGTCAGGCCCAATCTGAAGAAATGGGGGCGGTTGCTCTTAATTCCCGTGCACTTCTTCAGGGTGGCAGAGTGCAGCATAGGTCATGACTTCTCTGAAATCTCTGCTATGGGGTTGGGGGTGAAATGGGGGTGGACGTCTTACCAAGCAACGTCATAAATGGTCCTGGAGTGGAAGCCCGACAAAGTGCAGATGCATTTCCAGCTGGGGTCAGAGCTGCTGCATGCCACCCCTGCAGGACAGACTTCTCTTAAGCTTAAGATATTTCCATGTCCCAGACATCTCAGGAGAGTAATTGAACCACTGCAAAGTGAGCCCTCCCTCATGCCCTCTTTCAATTAATTATGAGTCTGTGTCTCCGTTCCTTTGTCCCCATCCTTGTTGATTTGCCTTACACACTGGCCAGACTGGCCTTTCTAAAGCAGAATTCTGAGAAGAAAATGTTCCTGTTCTGCTGCAGACTATATCTAGCTAGTTAGTCTGCTTTTGAAGGCCACCCATCAGCCAACCCAACCCACTTTATTCCTTCTCAAACCCTTTATATACTACATCCCATCTAAATGAATCACCATTCCTCACGTAAGTCTAGGCATTCTCAACACCAATGCCTTTACTCACTGTTGGATTTTCACCTGGAATTCTCATGTAAAAAATCTCATGTTAAAATCCTACATAACTTTTTAAATTTGGATGAAATGGCTCTGTCCACAAAGCTTTCCTGGTTCTTCCAGCACTCAATCTGGTGCCCTCTTGCGGCACATCTTTTTACCCCAATTTGATACGATTCACGAATGTCCTTTAGCTGACTGTGAACCTCTGGAGCTCCGCTATTGGATCCTCACCTTGTTCATTGCCTGGTAGATACTGGCGCCAGATGCGCACGGTCCGGTCATCACTGCAAGATGCCAGGCGCTGACCACTGGGGTCAAAGGCCAAGCTCCACACGGTGGATTCATGGCCCTCAAGAGTAGCACAGCACACCCAATCATCCTCTTCCTCCCGGTAGAGCTTCACTGTATCGTCATAGCTGGCAGAGGCTAACAGCTGAGGGAAGGGAAGAGAAGACCCAGCACTTGCTTGTATGGCCCAGGAAGTGCCTGTGGTTCCAATACCTCTTCCTGCCAGGATAGGACAGTCCTAGGGATCTGTTTTTATAAAGGGACTAATGTTTTTTGGTCACAGATAGAGATCCCTATGAAAGTCAGGTCAAGGCTGAAAAGCAGAGGAGGGCTGGGCACAAGCCTCCACATCAGAGTTCCTTCCCACTAAGAGATCTTGCCTGACTCTTACCTCCTGGTTTGGGTGCCAAACCACATGCTTGACATCCTGTGTATGGGAGTTGAGGACACTGACACATTCATACTCATCCTCTTCATCAACTGTGGAAGAGAAGAAGAAAGGAACCCAAGAGCCAACCCTGTTAGCCACACAGAGGGGGATGTCTGTCAGGAGGTTCCCAATTCCACCTGGACTCACCTTCCCAGACCCACACGCTCTTATCTCGGCTGCAGGTGGCCAGGAGGTTGCCAGATGGGGCCCAAGCCACTGACTTGACCTCATTTTCATGGCCCTCAAGAGTGGTTACACACTGTGAAAAGGGAAGGGGGATGAGAATTAATGGCAGCTAAGATCCCTGGGGTCCTTCTCGTGGGTATAGCCCAACTGGCCCAGGATGGCTTAGGTTCCTGAACCAGCCCAGGGGAGCAAACAGGCAACAATCCTGGTCCCATCTAGCCTGGTTACCTCAAAGTCATCCTGGTTCTTCTTCCAAATGCAAGTGGTAGCATCAAAGCTAGCAGAAGCCAGGTAATTACCGCAGGGAGACCAGGCCACCTTCCGTACGGTGCGCTGGTGGCCTTCAGAAAGGACAGACTTGCAAATCCAGCTATCACCTAAAAGCAGAGGGCAGGCCAGGCTCTGGAGCTGGGTGTGCAAGAAGATGCAAAGCACCAAGGAGGCGTTCAATAACGGGGGTGGGGCTGGGGCTGGGGGTGGGTGGTAATATTGGAGGCCAAGCTGGGGCCCAAAGCTCAATCGGTGTATTTAACATGTTTTTTAAACAACAAAGATGTAACTAACTCTACTTCTGGAGGCATCCTTCTAAACTGCCAATGACTCCCAAAATGTCCTCAGGATAAAATTGGAACCTCACAGTCCAGTTGCAAGTTACTCTGTAACCTACTTTCCTATCACATTTCTCTCCCCATTTTCCTGCCTCAGCAACCATCACAATTCCCTCAACAGTTCCAGCCTGTCTGTTGACGCTTTTGTTTGCCTTCCAATACTTGCCAACTTCTTTGCCTGAAAATTCCTTCTCAGAGTGTCTAACGTGACTCGAAGGTCGCCTCTTCTCCCTCGGCCGGTAACCCCGTTCAGGGTCGACCTCCCCGGCAGACTGCGCACTCACACTACGCGCACGCGGAGGTCTCAGCGCCGGGGCTGGCGCAGCCAGGCCGGGCCTTACCCTCTGTGCCCCAGATGCGGATTGTCCGGTCGCCACCGCACGAAGCCAGCAGGGTCCCCGCGGGGTTCCAGGCCAGGAACCAGCAGCGAGAGTCCGGGTGCGCCGGGACACGGCCCAGAAGCACCAGCGAGTCTTTCATGGCGGCCCGGCGCAGGGTGAGGAAGAGATGGGCAGGGTCAGCCGCGCCAACAACCGGTCCCACCGCGCAAGTCTCCGCGACGCCCACCTCGGGCTCCGCGGTCGCCTGAGGGTCCCGCTTCCGCCCGAGGGCCCGGGTTGTCCTGGGAACTAAAGTGCTCGCGGCTATAGCCGCGCGGCCCCCTGGAAGTTGTAGTCGCTCCCCTCACCCTCCAGCAGAAAGTATAGCGGCGCCGCCTTGAACTAGTCCCGTGAGGCCCTGCGCAGAGCCGGCGGCACCGCCCAGGCTGTGACGCGACGGGGAGGAGGCGGGGACCCGGGGAGGCGGAGGCGGAGGCAGAGCAGGAGGAAGCCGGAAGTGCATAGGGTCCGGGTCGGTCCGGGCGTTGCGGGATTGGGGCCTGGAATCGTTCGGCCCCCGGCAGCTGGGAAGCCCGTGACAGGGCAGAGCGGCGCCATCCCAGCCCTGAGGACTGCTGACCGGTGAGGAACGGTGGGCGGCGTGGGGAGAGTCCTTAATCCGCACAGGTCGCACCCCAAAGCGCCGGTCCCAGATCACCCGTCCCCGATCCCCGCGGCCCAGCCTGGTTCTCTGCCCCTCAGCACCCTCTGGCCGAGACCCCGGAGCGGGTATCTTCGCCACCAGCAGCCGATCCCCAGTACCTCCTCCCCCACCCGGATCTGTCCAGACCCCATCTGGCCCGCGGCCCTCTCCGGGTTCTCGTCCTGCAGCCCCATTCCAAAGTCCCCCACCCCCGCCCCTCCATCGCCGCAGCTCTCGCGTCTCCTCTCAGCCCTAGGTCCCAACCCCCCGTTCTCCGGTGTCGGCCCTGACAGCCCCGCTCTGGCCTCACCTGCTGCGAGCCCAGAACATCGCCCTTTTCCCCGGGACAGGCAGGTTCGGCGCGCCCCGCAGAGGTCGGCGGCGACCAGCAGCGACCGCGGAGCGACGGCGGGCGGCCCCGGGCATGTACGCCCCCGGAGGCGCAGGGCTGCCCGGCGGGCGCCGGCGGAGGAGCCCAGGAGGCAGCGCTCTGCCCAAGCAGCCGGAGCGTAGCCTGGCCTCGGCCCTGCCTGGCGCCCTGTCCATCACGGCGCTGTGCACTGCCCTCGCCGAGCCTGCCTGGTTGCACATCCACGGAGGCACCTGTTCCCGCCAGGAGCTGGGGGTCTCAGACGTGCTGGGGTACGTGCATCCGGACCTGCTGAAAGGTGAGGGCACTGCGCGCCGCCCCTCCAGGTCTCGGTGGGGGCCAGAATGTGGTGTGGGCTGAAGCTAAGATAGCGAGGGGCAGGCACTTGGTTGAAGGAAACATCCCCATTCCTGCCTGGTGTTAATGCCCACCAGGTGGCTCTGTTTGGGGCCCGGCCACTCATTAATTCTGATGTTATTCAGCTAAGCACCTACTCCTCACAGCCCTGCTAATCCAGACTGCTGCTATTTTAGGATTCTGCCGGAGGAAGGGCGCTGTATATTAAGAAAAGATAAAGGTGCTAGGTGTCACCATTAGCCGTCCCCTTCTAAGGAAGCTGTGGGATACGGGAAAGTTTCTTTGCTGCAGACTGGTTAGTGGAGGAACAGGAACTTTTAATGTGACTAGGTTTTAAAAGATAGTTTAGTGTTCCATGGTAATTGTATTTTTATTAGAGAAAAAGGGGGTCTATGGCATTTTAGGTAATCAGAAATCAGTTCCATTGCCACTTTCAGTAAAACAGTTGGAATTTGGCTTTTGGAACCATTACAAGTGTGCCTGACTGAAGTAAGGTTGCTTTGTTCATTGTCATGCTTCCCAGCCAGGTAGACAGCTAAAGCCTATAGGAGAGTTCCAGGGAGTCCCATAGTTCATCCCGACCAGTTCTGTCTCCAGAAGTGAGGTTAAGGCTGTGTGGTGTGAGGGCAGGACTGCACCACCTGGTTTTTACCCTAAAAAAGGTCAGTGGGCCCCAAACAGTCCCTAGTAACAAAACTGTTCATCACCCCCAAGGTCTTTTGAACCATCTTGAAGGTCCTTATATTTCCTCCCTTTCTATTTGCTGGCTGTGACACATTCCAGATGTTTACTGCCCACATATCAGAACACTTCCTGTTAGATATCTGCACACTGGATTTGATGAAAAGGACCAAGTTCCTCTCTGTGTATTGGATCATATACTGCTTCTGCGGGTCTAGGCTGAAAAGCCTCATCCTTGTGGCCTAGTAATGTCTTTCTTTCTCTGAGTGTTCTCTTACTGTATTGCATCTCTCTTGCATTTTAGAGGCTTTAGAGTGATTTTGTAGGGAACAGGTTTGTTTCTTCTGGTTTGTTTCTAGGTTACACAGTGATGATATCCTTTGCTGGAATGGCTTGTTAAAACCAAAGTTACACATATGATGGAGGCCTTGTGATATACAGCCTTTTCTCAAGCATGTAACTGATGGCGCAATGGGCATCAAGTTTGAGTGAGTCAGGATGGTTTTCCCCTCAGCACATCGCCCTAGACTTGCCTTCTTTGAAGCATAGCTGCCACGTTCCCTCCGCTTCATGCAGGCTTTTGCAGTTGATCCCGTGGTGTTTCAGTGTTTCAAGAATTCACTCACCCACAAACTAGGAGTGAGTTCCCAATGCTCCCCTTTGCTGATCATCCCTGGCAGTGGGGAAGGGGGCTCATAAAATTCATGTAATGCAGGAAGAGGCAATCTCTCCCTCCATTATGTGACCCCACAGTCTTATTTCAGAGGTCTAGGAAACTGTGGCCCAGAAAAGTGAAATGATCTCCTCAAGGCTACCCAGTTGGGGGTGGCATAGCTGAGACTACCTCACATCTGTTGATGCCAGTATAAAATGGTGCTGTTTCATTTATGGTTTTTATCCTTTGTTTTACTTCAGCTGTCATAAGGAACCATCTACAGTCATTCCACTTGGTGTGCATCCTTGTCAAAGGCATGTTAAAAATAAAAAATTTTTGGTGCAGGTTTTCCTTTGTTCACATATGTATGTATCCTTTCTAAGAAATTATTCAGACCAAATTTTGTCTTTGGCAAAGCGTGTTTCCTTAACCTTTATTGGTACGTTTGCTCACGTGTTTAGAGATCTTAACCCATGTATGGTTTCTACCCGCTGGCTTGTGGCCATCTCCTTGGCCGTTGCGAACTAGGAATACTTTGTGCCTGTCAATGGGAGAATTAAGGGCAGATGATCTACCACAGAAGGTGAGGAATCAGAAGGTCACTGACTATGTCCCCTCTCCCTTCTCTCTGTACCTATTGCTTTTTTGATACCCAGTGGGCCCTCAGACACGTGGTATCTTGTGTGACTGTGCTGATCCTCAGGGCCTCACAGAGGCCCTGGAAGCCTAGGGTATTTATTCCCCATCTCAGGAGGGAGCAGAGCTGTCGCACACAGATGTGGTGCATATAGATGCTTCCAAAGGGAGAACAGCCCTTGCCAGTTCTCTGCAGGTGAGGGGAGTGGGCAGGCCCCGGGCTCAGAGCAGCCTTACCATTTCTCACCCCTGCCTGAGTGCCATGTGTTAGCATTATGCTAAGCACTCTCCATGCCTGCTTTTAGTTTCTTCTAGACAGCATCTTTATTTGGTAGGTACTGTCATTAGCCCCACTTCACAAAGGTCTCCAGTCAGTGAGATTAAGTAATTTGCTCAGGAGCACATAGCTAATCCGAGTGGCATCGACTCCAAAGTCCATACTCTTGCCACAACGCCTCAGTGCACACCAAGTTTCTTTTTTTTCCCATCTGAGTTGCCCAAGGCTTATCACTTCCCTATTCTAGCTGAGTTTTATCACAAGCCCAGCCACAGCTGTGCTTTTTACCATAACTTTGTCCCCTCAGTGTTGGGGCTCAAGTTGATGAACCTGAGGTAAAGGCACTCACCCTCCCACTGTCATTCACAGAGCTTCAGAGGCTTTAGCCAATGCCAGCTGGCTCCAAAGGTCCCCTCCTGGATTCTCCCCTCAACCTCACCAGGGGGTGCCTACTTCTCACACAGCTGGTCAGCCAGGGCCTGTGTCCAGAGATATATTCAGATCTCTAGCGGCCCTGGGGAGGGAGCCCCAGATAATGATTGTTTCTGAGCCCTAGACACTTTCTGTCTCCCAACTGTGACCAGCAAAGGGCAGCGCTGGCAACAGCCCCAAGAAGCATCTTTCGAGAAAGAGGAAGTTTGGATTAGAAGTGAAGTGAATCACAATTGACAACAGCCACTGGAAGATCACGGGCCTTCCAGGGAGGGCCCATGCACCTGAGGGGTGGTGACTGATGCAGCTGGCATTGTGAAGTCCTGCGGGGCCTGTCCTCAGAGGTAGCTCTATTAGGATCATTAGTATCTGTGAGATGACCCAGCCAGGCACTAGAGGGCCCTGTCAGAGGCCTATCTAGAAGCTAAAAAACTCACAGTGGCACAGGCCTAGCAGATCGATAGATGCATACAGAGAGGGATCAGGGAAAGTGCTTCTAACTCCAGTGAGGAGGGAGGGAGACGAGACAGAATCAGGGAGCTGGTCCGAAGCCACTTTAGCCTTCCTTCCTGCAGCGTGTTTGGGTCAGGAGAGGTTAGAGCAATGGGCAGGTAGACAGGAAGAGCTGGGGCCTTCAAAACAAATCCAGCCCAGTGACTCACCAGTGACCTTGAGCAAAGTCAGTTCCTTGGGATCCTATTACATAGCAGCTGCCTTCTTCCCTGATGACTAGAGAGCACGGTCAAGCAATGTTTACCAAAATAAACAGGCCAGGGCACAAGTGGAGGATAGGCTGTGTCCTGGGTCTGGCCAGGGTGTTATGGACTGCATCACTGGCTTGAATTTAAAGTTAGGACCCTGCCTGATGCGCCTTTTCTCTCCCACAAATAAAATTATGCGTACATAACCTTCGGGATTTTTTCTCCAGCAATCCTCTTGGGAGCAAATGTTTGTGGCCCTCCCTGCCATATGATGTCTAGGAAAGGAGGAGAGAGAGGTGTTGATATACTGACCCTCAGGAGAGTCTCTGAACTGGGTTCCGAGTGTGTCTGGGATAACTGCGCCTGTTCTTCCTGTGTGTTCTCAGACCCTCTAATGAAAGAACACCTGTGATATGGGACCAGCTCCCAGTATCCATTAGCATCAGCCAAAGGGAGTTCACATTTGGCTTTCCCACCCACCCTGAGGATTTGCTCACAGCTTTGGAGTGGAGAAAGGCAGTTACGATGAAAGAAAACCTGTTTGAGTTTTGGGCCAAAAGCTACTTCTCTGTACCACATCGTCACTCTGGTGGGGCAGACACTTAGTCTGGCTTTAGCAGGCTTCTTCTCTGGCCCACATTGGCTGATGTGTGTGGTCAAGGAAGTCTCATAAGAAAGACAGACACGCCGGGGTGATGCCACTGTGGCCCCTGGTTAGTGGGGCAGTAACAGTACGGGTGGCTGCTCTTTCACAGGCATGGTGTCAGCTCCCAGCCTACCTGTGGTGGGAGGGGTGGACATTACTGCTTTTATTTGATTGATGAGAGAGCAGAGGTCTAGGGCAGTCAAGTGACTTGCTCAAGGTAACACGTAGTCTGTAGTAGACCTAGGATTTGGCACCAGGTCCAGAGCCTTTCTGGTGTCCCAACCACTTCCAAGAGCTGGTCGCTGATGGCTATAGTGCTATAGAAGCTTAGATACCCTACCAAGCAGGCTTTGCCCAATAATTCTTTATATGAGCACTTTTCATCACTTAGTGACATAGCGAGACCTCTCCCCACATTCTTGGACTTTCCATTTTTGCTTTCTTGTGAGATTTTTTTGCTTCGAGCTAGTCTTCTAGTGAGCTCAGCAGCTGCTGGCTCTGAGGATGGCTCTGACAGCATTCATATTGGCTTTTGACCCTTCATTCACATACAAGGCTTTAGGATTTGATTGACTGACTCCAGGGAGGCATAAAGTAATTAACTCTGGTGCTTAGTGATTCCAAGCAGCACAGTGCGGGGGAGCCTGACCCGGATTTGGAATCTAGCTCTGCACTCTGTGGCCTGGAGGAAGTCACTTTAGCTCCTGGAGCTCTGATTCCTCATCCAAGCTCTGTGATAAATCCCCCACAGTGGCAGTGAGGATTAACTGAGATAACATTTGACCCATCTGTGTGCACAGGCCATTCCCGGAGGGGTATGCAAGTCACCTCTCAACAGTGTTTGCCTCTGAGGAGGGGCAGATGGACATCTGGAAGGGAAGAGACATCTTCTCTGAAGCTTTTTATCTTATGCACATCTTCCTTATTAAATGTATTATGAAACATAAGACATATAGTAGTGTATATAATGGATTTACATTTTTAAGGAAAATAAAATGAACATCCAGACAAAGAAAGAGAATAGTCTCTTTGAAGCCCCCATGTATTACTGTTTTCACTCTGAGTGCCTGGCTGCATTAAGTAATGCAAGTGGAATCTGACACAGCCTGCTGCAGAGTGGCGCGTGACCTCTGGCAGGTTATTCTTGGAAGCACTAGAAAAACACTTTGGTCCTGCCCCATCACTGCCACATGCCATGTGGACCCCAAGAAGAACTATCTCGGAGAGCTTTTAACAATATTCAAAATAAAGCCAGGAGATAGCCCCTGTCTCCTAGAGCTTTTCTTTCAGTGAGGCCCTGTGCGGTGGCTAAGGCTATGCGGACTAGATTAAATGAAGGCTGGTCCCAGTTGCTGGCAGAGCTCACACACAGGCAAGCTTCCTGGCAGTAGGCAGTTACCCAGGCTGGATGCTTGGGCCCAAAACAGATGGTCAGCAGACAAGAGATCATGACAGAGAGCTCTGAGGGTGGCTTAGTGGGTGACCGAAAGCCCAGACGGGAGCATATGAGCCTCCATCTGGGCCCAGCCAGCATCTGCTTGGTGAATTCTGAGCTTGACACAGGGTATGCATGCTCAGTCACAAAGGCCCAGGGCCACCCTCTGCCCAAGACCCCATGATGCCAGCATTTGCTGGCTTGAGTCAGCTTTGTTGAGATTAGGTGCCCTCCCCAGGTTCTTGGACTTTCTTTCCTCTGTCTACCTTCCTCTGAGGTCTGGGACCAGTGTTTCTTGAAGTGTAGGGTTTGGACCACCTGCATGTGTGTTACCTGCCCTGCTTGTTAAAAATTCAGATTCCTAGGCTCTGCTCCAGACCTAGAACTTAGACTCACCAGGCGAGGTAGCTCGCCTGTAATCCCAGAGTTTTGAGAGTCTGAGGCAGGAGGATAGCTTGAGGCCAGGAGTTCAATACCAGTCTGGGCAACATAGTGAGACCTCATCTCTACCAAAAAAAAAATTAGGTCATTAAATATGAAATGTCCAATTTCTAATCAAAAGCGTAGTTTACTATATGTCAAACAAGAAGCAGTACAATTAATCAAAGTATGTGCCTAAATTATCGACACAGTTTTGCCATCTTAACAGTAGCTTGTTTATGCCAGCAGCAAAGAAGCCTGGAGAGTGAGTGGCAATGAAATTGCCAAAGGTGTTTTCCACAGCTTGTTGAGAATTGAATATTTTTCCTTGCAAGAAGTGGTCCAAAGCCTCCAAGAAGTGGTAGTCAGTTGGTGCAAGGTGTGGTGAATATGGTGGATGACAGAGTTTCCAAGTCCAGCTTCTGTAGCTTGAGCAGCATTGTTTTTGCAACATGTGGTCTTACAAGAGGATTGGTCTGTCTCTATTGACCAATCTTGGCTGCTCAATCACAAGCATCCTCATCATTTCATCCAACTGGTTGCAGTAGTTATCTGCTGTAATCCATTGGCCAGGTTTCATGAAGCTGTAGTGGATAATACCAGCGCTGGACCACCAAACAGACACCATTAGCTTTTTCTGATGCTGTTTGGTTTTGGACTGTGTTTCGGCACATCCTCTTTATCCAACCATTGTGCTGAACGCTTGTGATTGCCAAAAAGAATCTATTTTTCATCACACCTAACAATATGATGTAGAAATGGTTCACCTTTATGTCGTGGCAGCAAAGAAAGGCAAGCTTGGAGAAGATTTCTCTGCTGATGCTTGTTTAATTCATGCAGAACCCATCTATCCAGCTTCTTTACCTTGTCTATTTGTTTCAAATGTTCCAATATTGTTGGAATAGCAACATCAAACCTTGCTGCTTATTCATGTGTAGGTTGAGATGGATTCGCTTCCACTACAGCTTTCAGCTCATCATTATCCACCTTGGTCTCAGGTCACCCATGTAGCTCATTTTCAAGATTAAAATCACCAGAACAGAACTTCTCAAACCATGAGTGTATTGTGCATTCATTAGCTACATCTTTCCCAAACACTTTCTTGATATTTTGAGCTGTCTGCATTGCATTGGTTCCACAATGGAACTCATATTAAAGAATAACACAAATTTTTGACTTATCTATGGTTTCACAAAAATTGCTCTAAAAAAATTTGAAATGTAATCACAAGCCAAAATGTGCATTTGCTAGACTGAGGATTTACCTTCACAATAAAAATAAAACAAGAAGTGTCAAAGTGAAGTGTCAGAGATACCAAACCTAGTACTTAAGGAAATCAGACATTTCATACTCTATAACCTAATAAAAAAATTAAATTATGCTCCCTGGTGGTCTAGTTGTTAGGATTCAGCACTCTCAGACTCTCTGGGGGCCTAAGAACATGCTTTCACCTAGCACCCCAGTGGTTTGGATGTGCGCTAGAGGTTGGTTATCACCACCTTACACAGCCTGGGATCAAGTTTAGGAAAGGAGTTTATAGCCTGAGCCCTTTCCAAATTTTCCTAAATCACTTGGTAACCCATGGCCTAAATGAAAGAAGAGCTTGCCAGTGGCAAGAAAAGGGGAGGATGAGGAAGTTAAGGCTCATTTCCTACTTTTATTAAGACTTGGAATACTTAATCATGGCCTGGTTTCTTTTTGCATCAGCCTTTATTCTATTGTATCCTTCTGGAAGCTGTGGCAGTTTGCATAGCTATCAAAGGAGATTGACAGTGTTGTGTAATTGAAATTTTTAAAAAATACTATATTAAAGTACTTGGAAGGAAATACAAGTTGCTCTGTGTGTCTGGTACATGGTTGTCATCCTGGAATCTCCCTTCACCAAGACCTTAGGGACTCCTTGAATGTTGTCTCCTGTTTCAGCATCTTCCTTTTCCTTGATTTACTCCCTTATTTTGGTAGCGTGTGCACCCTTTGGTGCTGTTAATTTCTTAGTCTTTTGGGGATTTTGTAGTGTACATCTAGTTGCTGCTTAGCTTTTCCCACTGCTGGCTTACCTTCAGCTCTGTTGAGTCTGCTCAGTCATCCTAGGTAGCGCTGAGTCCCTTTACCTTCCAGTTTTCAGAATTTTGTTGTGCACCTCCCTTTCTCTTGTGTGGGTTTATGCTTTTTAAAAAAAATTATTTTCTTTTGTTCTGGTAGGGTTCAGGGAGGGAGCAAAAATAAATGCGACGGTGCAGTGCTCCATCTTTCCTAATTTATTTAATACATTCTTGTAGTTACGTATTTCTCTGAATTGCCTCAACTTCTTTTTTCCCCTTTTCTTTATTTAATTTTATTATTGTGGTAAAATAAAAATTAGCATTTTAACCATTTTTAAGTGTACTGTTCAGTGACATTAAGCGTGTTCACACTGTTGTACAAGCATCACCACTGTCCATTTCCAGAAGTTTTTTGTCATCCCAAACTGAATCTCTGTACACATTAAATCTGCGGTCCCCATCTCCAGGGGGACAGGGCTGTTAGGAACCTGTTAGGAACCGGGCTGCGTATTGCCACCTGAGCTCTGTGCCCCCATCCCTGGAAAAATTGTCTTCCCAGCCCCTGACAACCAGCACTCTACTTTCTGTCTGTATGAATTAGACTATTCTAGGCATCTGATATGGGTGTAATCATACAATATTTGTCCTTGTATGTTTGGCTTATTTCACTTAGTGTCTTCAAGTTGAACTACTTTTTGGAACAAAAAGGAAATGAATGAGTGAGTAAATGGGGAATCAGCCTTAGCCTTTCTGGCTGTCTCAGCTTAGAAGTCAGGCTTTTCCTGCCAGCCCAAAGCATCCTTTAGCAGAATGGGTTAACATGACAGGTTAATTGTCAGGATCTTTAAAAATAGAAGAGCATGGCAAGTACAACAGAGTGGAATCCTGCACTTAGACTAGTCTTGTTGGAAAGGGAAGGACTTGAGGTACAGGGGAACAGTGATCCAGGGTTCCTGTCTCCTAACGTGGAGGTTGTTCCAGCTCCTTTGCAGACAAACTAGGAGCAGGAGCTAAGACAGGGTCCTCCAGTACTCACCTGGCTCCCCACGACTGTGGTGGGGGGTGGGGATTGAGCTCCTTCCTGGGTGAGGACTTCGTGCACCAGGGTATTACTTGTGACCCTGAAAGTTTGATTCTCCCTCCACAGATTTCTGCATGAATCCCCAGACAGTGCTGCTCCTGCGGGTCATTGCTGCCTTCTGCTTCCTCGGCATCCTATGTAGTCTCTCTGCGTTCCTTCTGGATGTCTTTGGGCCCAAGCATCCAGCCCTGAAGATCACCCGTCGCTACGCCTTTGCCCATATCCTAACCGGTAAGCCCAGGAGCTGCTCATTGTAGGGGAGGAACTGCCATCGGATGGTGCAGACCATCTGGAGTTGCAGGTGGGGACTCGGATTTCTATGAGCAGACACTGTTCCAGGTGCTCATGTAAAAAGCTCTAGCCTTTCACAGAGCATTAGGGTGTGTTAGCAGCTTGCTTTAGTCATTTGCATGTACCCTTGCCAGGATCACAAGCGTACTGAGCCCAGCTGTAGAGAGGGAATGTTCTTAGAATTCCACAAGAAATAAGGCTCTCTAAAAGTGGCATTTGAAGCCCAGCCGAGCTCAGTGCCTGGAATGAGCAAGGAAGGAAACAGGCTGTCTCCCCGTGTCTCCCATAGTTCATGGTGGGATTCTCTCCACGCCGCCTTCCTGCCTCCCTGCAGACCAGCCTTCCCTTCCTTGTACATGGCTACATACCTCCCTCATGACCAGGCTGGTGTGTCGATTTCATTTGTGGTAGTGCCAACTCCAGCTCCCAAACTGCATGACCTTATCTATTCCTTCTAAGTACCCAAAACATCCAGTGGTTTTAGTATCCCAATTGCAAGTACTTTAGAGAGAACCTGATCTAGATGGGGTCCCAGGCCAAGAATCTCTGGCCAAGGGAGCTCCTCCTTGCAGGGTCTGGGGTTTTGGGTAGAGAGGCTGTGATTGGTTCCTAAAGCATCCTCACTGCAGGGTGCCTGCTAATCTGCCTTCTGTGCTGTCCTCTGTCCCCTAGTCCTACAGTGTGCCACCGTTATCGGCTTCTCTTACTGGGCTTCTGAACTCATCCTGGCCCAGCAGCAGCAACATAAGAAGTACCATGGCTCCCAGGTCTATGTCACCTTTGCCGTTAGCTTCTATCTGGTGGCAGGAGCCGGCGGGGCCTCAATCCTGGCCACAGCAGCCAACCTCCTGCGCCACTACCCGACAGAGGAAGAGGAGCAGGCGCTGGAGCTACTCTCCGAGATGGAGGAGAATGAGCCCTACCCAGCAGAGTATGAGGTCATCAACCAATTCCAGCCGCCCCCGGCCTACACGCCCTAGTGCCCACCATGGGCTTTCTTCCTTGGCAGCCCTCCCCGACTCTGCAGCTCCTCTCATACCCAGAGGAGCCCCTTTCCCCAGCAGGCCTCACTGGTAGGATCCTGACCATCGTCACCAAAACTTCCCAGGAGAGACTCTGCCTTTAGGGTTGTCCGTGTATCCCTGCTCTCAAAACCTGAGGTTCATTGATTTTATATAATGCACTGTCTCCCCTCCTGCCACCTTCTGTTCCCTTCACGTTCACTAGTCATTACCAACCAGGGATGTCATGCAAGTTTTCTCTCCTCACGGACCATATCTTTGGGATTGGGACTTTTCCTTAGAGAGCTGCTGATAGTGGACAGTCCCAGATAGAAGTATCGACAGGGCCCAAGGGGAAGCGGACTGTGCCCTGTGGGCTCACTTCACAGGGATCAACGATTGTTCCACAGCTGTAGCTCTGGGCTGGCCACCTCCACCTGGCCCTCATTCCTTCTGGGAGTGCTCTAATACCAGGCTGCCCACTCCGTGGAGTTCTCTGCACTTTAGTCTTTGGACTTCTCCTCACGTGTGTTCTGGTTTTGTGGGGAGAAGGACCTGGTGTGGGGAAAGCAGAGCAGTTGTTCTCCCCACCCTGCCCTTGCTTCGTGTGGCTGGAGCCCAGGCCACGAGAGCAGAAGCTGGTGTGAGACAGGCCTCCTGGTGCCTGTCAAGGATCAGAGGTGGACTAGATCTTCCTAGCCCCTTCACGTTTTAAATGTGAGTTGTCTTAAAAAGAAAAAAAACCAAGCAGCAGCAACAATATTCTCTTTTTAAAATAGGGACAAATCTGTTGTTGTTTTTCAGAAACATGTCCTATTCCTTTTGGCACCGTAATATTTTGGGCCAAAGCTCCTTCCAAGCCCATGGTAGTTCCTCCCTGAGTCTCTCCCCGCAGAATGCAGCCTCTCTTCCCTTGCTTGTCCCTCCCAGTGATGGTGGCTCCCTGGGGCCTTCCTGTGGAACCCAGAGGCGCTGAGGACTGTGGCCTGGCTGGCCGGCCAGCGTGGTGCTCCTCAGGACTGCGGCACTGAGATGAAACCTGGCCTCAGTTCAGGAACAGGGGCCACAACAGGGCAGGAACTCATCGCATAGGAACCACAACCAGTGGGACCCCATCATGTGAGGTGCCAGACCACACTAGCAGGCCTGGCTGTATCCTTCAGGCTCAGCATGTCCCCTAGACTGTGAATTGGGGCTACAGCTTGCTGCGTGCCCCTCTCCCTTTCTTGAATGTACTCTGATCTTGCAGTGTGCTACTGGCTCTTTCTTGCCCAGCCATCACTCCGGCTACCCTTTTTGCTCTGGGTCTTGCAGAATTTTCTGCTCTGAGATGTGGGGCATAAAGTGGGCGAAACTTGAAAGATCTTCAGTGCAGATCCAGATGGCTACTCTGTCCTCGTTAAATTACGAGCTTCTTTGGAATCAGCATCCAGTGCTGAGCTGAAAAGGAGACGGATTCCAATCTCCTCCCACCCTTAAGTCAATAGACAGTTCCAGCAAGACTGAAGAATGGACACTACTGTTGAGCTGTGGCTAGAAAGGGACTGTCCTGTCCCTGTCCTTTGGCCAGATTGGCTGGGGATGTCTGGATAGATGCCTTTGTGAGTGGTGAAGACCACCTCTGCACATGAGTTGGGGCAGCTGCTTGGAATTCACTGCTGTGATGCCAAAGCGTGTCCCAAGGTGACTGTCCCACTCTTCCAGACTCTTCTCTCAGGCAAGAAAGGCTGCCTGCCATATGATACCTGAGCACAAAGCCAAGGAGCTGAATTAAGTCTCTTTCTGTAAAGTCCTGAGTTTGTCACTGGCAGATTTCCGAGGTGTGGCTAGCTCTCTCTCTGACCGTGGGCATCTGAGTGGGCAGGCCAGAAGACCGGGCACTGAACACGCATGCCAAAGTGACCGGTCACCTCATTCGGACCTGGACATGACCCTGTGGACTGTTCCATGTCATTCGGAACCCACTTTTTATTAGCTTCCCGTGCCTCTGGCCTTTCTCTTTTCCCCTGCCATCCTGCCACTAATAGTTTGTCATATAAATTCCCCTGGTTGTGTTTTTTTTTCTAGGAAAAAAATTAAAAAACAAAACAAAAAACCCAGAAACCATAAATAAGAATGTAAATGCCAATGGCTGCCTATCATTTGTCTGTTGCAATTTTCCTGATTTGGTTTATTCTCTTCTTGGAAAAGCAGGAGACATTGATGAAGCTGTAATTTAAGAGACAGAAGGGACTTGGCACGTGCCTGCTCCATGTATGGCATTTTCACCTCTAGAGCCTCCTAATCCTGACAACTTCCACACAGGAAATTTCTAGGTCCCATAGCTAGAAGCAGTAGATGACTCCTGCTCAAGTCCTCAACTTCAAACCCTGAGCTCTTCTCGCGGCATCCCCTGGTTAGCTGCAGAAGAGAGAGAGATGTCTGGATTGTGGCTTGCAGAAGAAACTGCACTTTCTTTGAAACCAGAGGCAATGACACTGGGAGAGGCATGGGAGCAGAGACAGTTCGGGTGTGTGACCTGGAGAAAAGCTCTGCAGGGGCAGTGCCACGTTCTCTCCATTCAGCCCACACACCAGGCCCCAAGTGTGTATCATGGTAAAAGAGCTTAGGGCTCCTTTTGGGTGTTTTTTTTTTTTTCCTGGGAGGAAGACACGTCTTTCCAATTTCATGTCATTTAGACATTTATGAAGGGCCTTTTGGGTTGTGCTCAAAGCACTGTTAGGCACCATGAGAGAAACACAGTGAGTGACGGGGGCTCTGTCTCCAAGTCCTCTGTCATTCAGGAGATGGACTTGTCCACAGAAAGGCAGGGTGAAGTGAGTGGTCAGCTGGGAAAAGTGCTGTGCCCCGAGGGGAGGCTGATTCTGACCTGAATGATTACAAAGTCTTCCTGGAGGAGGCAGCTTGAGCCAGGCTTGCCGTGGGAGAGTATTGAAGGGAGGCATTCCTGCTGAGGAATGGTAAGAGCAAAAGCACGTTGGTGGCCAGGTGTGGTGACAGCAGAGGTTAAAAAGGTGAGAGGAGCCCATCTAAGGCACTGAAAGCCGTGGAGAGCCCTGGAAGGATTTTGAGAAGGGAAGGGAGGGACACAGCTTTATTTAATGACTGATGTGGGTGAGAAGGAGGGTCTGCCTGGTGTTAAGGGAAAGTGTCTGAGGGTGTGGAAGTGGGAGACAGGTGGGACATGGTGTTGAGGACCTGGGACCTGGCAAAAGGGGAAGAGAGTAGTCACAGTTGGCCGCCCGGGTCCAATGTCTCAGCCAGCTGCTGGGGTAGGGAAGACAGCCACAGTTTCTGCCCGCCTGTTCCCTGGCTGTTGGAAGGTAGAGTCAATGCGCAGGCCAGGTAGGCTCACGCACAAGCAGCTGTGGGACGTGAAGGGCCACGAGGAAAGGACCTTGGGCGATGGGAAGAGGTTGTGTATCTGAGAGAGGGCAGTTTTCTCTAGATAACTAGAGAATCTTCTGCTGGCATCTCACCCACAGATGTCCATGCTCTCAGCCACTACATTAATGGGACATAGGCTCTGTGGAGAAACACAAAGAAACTAACAAACTTTATGGCCCCTGATTTTAAATAGCCTACAATCTTTGCTCTTCCTCTGCATTTTTGGGGGGAGTAGCGCTTTGTGGGTTGGGAAGTGCATGGAGGAGAGAAAATCTTTTTGAATGAGTCCACCTGAAATGAAGACACTATTAGGGACACAGGTTTGAGAATTAAGAGATCAGTTCCTCACTATAAGCTTTGGGGGAAATGCTTGGCTTTGTTCCTGGGGAAGGGGACGGTTTCCTCAACAAAGATTTTACTGGTCTCAGAGCTGAAGGATTTACGTTGGACTGGCCAGCCCATTCAGCTGAGAGGGACACAACACACAGGTGGTAAGGGGCTTCATAAGACGTTCTAGGAAAGGTAGAAGCCCCTCAGCCAACCATGTGTCTAAGGAGTCAGGTCATGAAGAACCTTCAAAGAGAATACTGTGGTTCCATCTTGTCTGGGTCTCTGAGAATGAGGCCTGAAGGGTGCAAGGCCTGCAGGCAGCCCTGTTTGGAAGGTGCTTGTCCTTACTTCTGTCTCTACAGAAAATGGGAACTGGCCCTGTAAAGGACCTTCCCTTCGTGGTGAGGCAGACCATGTAGCCCAGATGCCCTCCTTGGTTTCACCTCCCCCCGGGGGTCTCTCGCCTAGATATCTAGTGCCACCACTATTGGTGGAGGCTTTCCCTCTGGAATAACCCTGGAATGGTGGATGAGTTTTGTTTTAATAAGGGGGACGGTATCCCTTATTCATTCTTTCCCACTTGTTTGCCTCCTTGTCTTCTAACAGAGGGGTGTGGGAAATTTACACACGCACACACACAAAACACACAATTCCTATAATGTTGGCAGCCTATGTCTTTCTTGTTTACCTTATGAGTTCATTAGGCTAGGGGGTCATGCTTTTTTATGTAACATTTATTCACCAAATACACTGAACACAACGTGCTTTGTGGAGGATACAAGATACTAACCCATGTGATCCTTGCCCTCGAGCGCCTTCCAATCCAGCTGCCAGAAAAGAGGAAATCTGACAAGGCTGAAACCAGACAGTCAAGCAAGACTTCCTGAAGGAGAGATTTAATCTGGGCCTTAAGAACAGGTGAGCTTTCAGCAGAGAACCATGTCATCAATGGTATGAAAGCAGGAAAGGAAGGGCAGCCTTGGGGAACGCTGAATTGGTATTCTGAGCAGTGATGATCCCCACTGGAGGGGACTGGCAAGCAGTTGTGGATAGACCCAGCCCACAAGGACCTGGGACCAAAGTTATTGCCAGAACACTTATAGCGTCAAGACACAGAGCTCAAAGTATCTTAATTATTAATAAATGGAAGTTATTGGTTCCAATAACTGAAAAGTTCAGGGTAGTCCAGAAGACTTGGCTGGGTCCAGGGGCTCCAACAATGACATGAAGACACGGTTTCTCTCTGTCTCTTTGCTCTGTTTGCTCAGGCAGTCTCTCCCCAAAAATGGTGAAGATGGCCACTGGCAGTCCCAGGCTGACACTAACCTCTTTGACTAGATAACTAGGTCATACCTTCCCTGAACTGTGGCCAAGGACCTGGAGCTTCATCCCATGGCCCAGGGTGAGGATGGTTCATGTGGCATCCTGGATTCAGAGATGGCATTGGCACCACGACAGTAGTTAAGAGGTATGAGCACCTGGGTGAGGCCTGCTCCAATCAGAGGTCCTTGCTGGAGTGAGCCTCCTGTCGCCTCTGCCTCAGCCCTCCTCTTACTGTGATGATAAGACATGAGCCCACTGACCAGCTCTACACTTGCTTTGTGTGTCTTATCTTTGAACAGAGCTGGCCCTTGAAGTCAGGCTGGCCCACTCTGAAACACTGGGCAAACAGCCTCGATTCCACTGTCTGTGTCTCAGGAATTGTTTCTTTTGCTTCTCCCCTACCCTTGCCCCTTTCTTCCTGCTCCATTCCAGCGCCTACCCAGCTTCTGACTTTCCTGTTTTTCTTTTCCACTCCGAGCTCAGCACTTTGCTTGAGTAGTGTTTGGCACTCCTGAAGACACAGCTTGCGCACATCCTGGCTGCTCTGGGTAACCACCCACCCAACCCCAGTCCCACCCACACATCTCCATCCCGAAGTCAGCCCGACGGGTGGGGAGCGAGTGGGCTGCAGCTGACGACAGAAGGCAAGAAGGCAATGGGGCTGATGCCCTGGCCACTGTTCGGGTACATTTTTGAGGTAGTTCCTCAGAACTCTTA